AGGCAAGGAAAGGCTTCAGCAACAAGAGGCCATGTTGCAGCAACAGGCAGCAGCAGGCAAGGAAAGGCTTCAGCAACAAGAGGCTATGTTGCAACAAGAGGCGGCAACAGCTCAACGGCAGGTGAGGCTTGCGCAAGACCTTGTCAACCAAAGCTGCTTGTTCATGCAGCAGCAAGATCTGGCAGGTCAGCATAAGCTTGCCAGACTAAAGCACCATCACGACCAGCAAATGCGTGTTTTGCAAATGGAGCAAGCAAGCCCGCAACAGCTTTTGCAGGAACAGGATCAGCAAATGAGAACACAGCAAGAGTTGGAGCAGCAGCAAGCAGCCAACAAACGGAACTCGGAAGAGCAAGTGCAGCATTTTGCGCAGCAAGAAATGCAAGAGGAAGCAAGAGCCCAACAGACCATTCTCCAAACTCGTGCTCTAGGCATGAAGTTGCGGGAAGAAATGCAAGAGCAAGAGCAACGTGCAACCATTCAAAAACAGGCCTTGCACCAAGAAGCGCAGCAATTGCTTCAGCAGGAATTGCAGCAGGAAGCAGCAGCAGAAGCAGCAGCATTCCGGCAACAAAAAGTGCAGGAGCTACTTGAGCAACAAAAGCAGGATGCAATTGGCCAAAGGCGGGCCATGCAGCACTTGGAGATGCAGCATCTCCGTGACCAAGCGCAGCAGCTTCAAGCGCTAGAAGCACATCAGCAAGAGGAAAAGCGCTTGCAGCAGCAAGCAGCAGCTCAAGCACAGGCCCTTCACTGCGAGGAGATGCAGCAGCAAGCGCAAGCAGCACAAGTCCCTGGGCATACAGAGAAGCAGCGCATGATAGTTGAGGAAGCAACAGCTCAGAGAATGGATTTGTTGCAGAGCAGGTTTTCTTCTCAGCAGAAACCAGCACAAGAGCTGCAAGTCCAGCAAACAGCGCTTCAACAAAAGCTTTGGGAGCAAGAAAAAGCAGAAGAAGCAGCACACTTGGCTCTTGAAGCGCAGCAGCAAAGGCTGGCCTCACTTCGTCAAGAGCTCCAGCAACAAGATGCCATGCAGGGTGGGGCTTTCTCCAGGCAGCCAGTGGGTTTGCGTGGTCAATCGTTGCCTTCAAGTCCTGATGGGCAACAGGTCTACAAAAGGGCTCGCATTGGGGCTCTGTCTGGTGGTGGGCACTTCGAAGGTCTGCCTCTTGGGGGTGTCACGCCTTTCCAGTGCCAAGTGGAGATGGCGGTTGGGAATCCCTTTAGCCAGCTACCAGCAAAAATCACGGAGATTGACCTAGAGGCGTGCTCGCCGGTTTCTCCAATTGATCAACCAGAAAGCACGCAAGACATGATGTCTACAGGGCCTACAGAAAGACCGTCTTGGCAGTCAGGTGCACCACCTGTGCCCTTCCGTCCAGGCCCTGTGAAGTCAGGAAAGTGGCTTGAGGCACCAGTGACACCAGGCCAATTGTTCCGTGAGTCTTTGACCCCACGCTCTATGACCCCAACGTCTCCAGCAGAGGTGTTGCAACCTGAGCAGCCGGCAGGGGTGGCGCAAGCAGCAGCTCCTTGGCGGGCAGCAGCAGGGGGGGAGGCAAGGCTTCCTGAGGCAATTCCTGCACAGCCTTTCCAGGGTGGAAATTTTCCTTTTCAACCAGAAGTGCAGCCAGAAGTGTCTCCTGCTCTTGCACAGACAGCATCTCCTGCGCAGCATTCTTCGCTGTCAGCAATGTCTCCTTCGCAGATGGGGCAGCTGGGGCACGCAGAGCTGGCACAGGCAGCAGGTCAGCTGGGACAGCCAGCGGATCCTTCTTCAGGTGAAGGGCACCCTGGATGCGTTGGTGAGTGGCTGTGTGAGTTTGTTGGTGTTTGTCTGAAGCATATGTAGGCGCGCGCACACACATATATTGATATTTATATATCTATAAATATTTATATATATATATTTACTATATTATTAAAATATATAATTTTTGGAAGAATTTTGGTTTTGGGATTTTTTGTTCTAGCGTTTTGATTCAAGCAAATCTCAGGACCACCAAAGATGGTCAAATGGTTATAAACTCTATGACGTGTCCACAGGCTTGGGGATTCCTGTATCGGATGTGCCGTGACGGAGAGAAAAAGAAGGTCCCTCAGGAAATCCTGGATGCTTGGAGGTCGGGTGGGGCTGCGCGGAACAAGCTGTTGCAGACCTTTGTGAAGCGATGCTTTCAGCCGGAGGAGGACTACGCAGCCAACCGTACAAGGTTGGAAGCATTCATCCGGCTCAGGCAAATGAGCAGAGATTGGTCCAGAAGCTTGCAAGGCTTTGAGTGGCTCACCGAGGCTGAGATGAAAGAACGGAACTGGAGTGAGAAGCTTGGTTTTTGAGATTAACCTAACATGTTTCTTTGGGCTATTGTTTTTGAGGTGGTTTGGCTGGGGCAATACCCAAGTCCAGAACAAAGGACAAAGATTGCCGGTGCAATCCAGCATTGCAACGCCAAAAAGTTGACGAAGCAGTGTCCTTATGAGAAGGTTAAGAAGTACTTGGTGCTGACGAGCGACAAAGTGGAGCAGCTTTTCTGGTTTAGGTAATTTTCATGTGCTTTCCTGCCCCCAGCTCAATAGTTCTGCTAGCTAAGGGCAATCAATTTGAGCAAAACAAGGCAAGGCTCGGAGAAAATGAAGGAGCTCGAAGAACTCATGGAAAGCACTGGTCTGTTCAATGAACACTTCAGTTGTGGTGTGGGCGATATGATGATGGAGGTTTCGGATGAAGATGAAGAGAACAGCGACCGCCCAGAGCAGCCGTTGGGCAAAAAGCCAAAGCCTCAACCTTTCCCTTCAATTGAAGGGTCTGAGAGTTGCCATGAATTTGTCCAGAAGTACAAAAAGGCTTGTCTCAACCGGAAGGGGGTTTTCAAGACCTTGGCAGAGAAGTGGCAGGCAGCGGGTCTTTCGACGACCCAGCCCCTTGCTTTTATACCAAAGAAAAATTTGTGGTGTTGATGTGCTTTTTGATAGTTTGTGCATGACCAATTCTTCTTTGTGGGCAGCTCAGGGATGAGTACGCAGCACTGAGCAGAACCAACAGCAACTTTGACAGGTTGCAACTGTTCCTTTTTGTCCCCGATGGTCTCTAATTATTGTTGAAATGTACCTCTAGATATATATACATATATATTTAATATGTATTAAAGTATATGTATACTCATACATATCCGTTCATACATAAACATAGGCATGCACATTGTGTGTGTGGTGTATTTCACTCTGTGTTTGCGCTCGACTGTTGTTTGTTTAAGGCGAGCTCGGTGGTCACTACAAGAAAATCTGCGATTTGGAGACTGAGCAGGGAAAACAGAACCCTGGCAACAAGTCTCCTTACCGGGAGATCGCAGTCACCATTGAGAAGACTTGCATTTCTTTCAATAATCTTGCGTCGGCAGTAAAAGTTTACTTGCCCAAAACAGCTGCCAAATCAAAAGCAAAGAGGGGCACCAAGGAGGAAGAAGAGTGAAATCAATTTTTTTGTTTCTTGTTGCTGACAGAAAGTATTGAAAATACAAATGTACGTGTGTCTGCGTTGGTGGCCTTCAGTTCAACAAGATCCGTGTGGGATTGGGTTCGTAATTTGCAGCTATCGACCTTGGCTGCAGTTACTTTGTAAGAAGCCAACTGTGCTTCTATGGGGGGTGATTGCTTTGATCGAAGCCCAAAGCCTGAGAGCCCGAGTGCGCAAAAACTTTTGGCGTTGTTGCAATGACAGCTTTATATATAGTTGTCACTTGGGTTCCATATAGTAACTTGCTGCAGGTGCTGGTTCAGTGAAAATCATACTGGAGGACTATGTTGTCCCAAGCTTGGCAATTCGCTTGATGAAAAAAAACAAACATGCACATATAGGTGAAAGACTCCGTGTCGGAATTTAACATAATTGCTTTGAACTGCTGGAAACCGCTTGTGTTTCATTCCATGGGCCCTCTGTCCCGTATTTTAAGCACTTACGCAATACACATAATCTTCTGGAATGAAACATAATCGGTTTCTGCGCTATCAAAGCGATTGTGCTAAATTCATTGTTTGGGATTTGGGGTTACTTATTTTGTGATTTCTCAGGCTCACAATGCTGAGAAAGCATCAGAGCATGCCTACTCACAGTGGCGCACTATGTTACCAGGGTGCCCAGGCTATCGTGAGATGGAACAGCTTGCTATTGCCCACCGAGCCAAAAGTGACAAAGAGTCGGTTTTTATTCAGCAGGTTGTGAACATTGGTGGGACGCTTCCGATCCCCCTGAAAGAGCTCTGTTTAGAAACAAATGGCAAGAAACACTACTGCCTGGAAGTGCGCGCAGTTGCTGAATATGTCCTCGGAAGATATCCTCAAAAATTGTTGGCTGGCTTTTCTGCTGATGATTTTGCGTGTTTCCAAAGCCTGTTGGAGGAATATTGGCAATGCTACAAAAAAATTTACCAAGAGCACCCAGTTTTTGAAGATCACAAACAGGAACTGGGAAGGTGCATACCAATCAAGCTACACAGCGATGAGGGAACTGGACTGCGCAAAACAGCTGTCTACCAATTCAGTTGGGGTCCAATTCTGTCTGATGGTGCAGCCTCTTGGGATAGGTATCTCTTCTGGTCTTGTATGTCCCATGAAGATTACAAAGAAGCACATGCAGGTTTTGAACGTGGCAATTCCGTGTTGGATGAACTGTGCTCACATTTGGCAGCGCAGGCTGCCAGCATGTATCGTGAAGGACTTGAAACTCCTTGGTTTGGAAAACTCTACTTCGTGTGGTGTGCCCACGAGGGGGATTTGCCGGCCCAAGCGCGAGCTTACCATTGCAAACGCAACTTTAACTGCGTGCCAAATCCTATGTGTGTATGGTGTTCAGCAGACGATTCGAACGTCCCTTACACAGATTTCAGGCAGCAAGCGCTTTGGCGCACCACTCTTGGTGATGAGCGTCCGTGGACCAACCCAAGCCCGCTTACAGAGATACCTGGAGCGAGGAGTGAACAGTTCCTGTCAAAGGACTTGTTCCACATATGCCATTTAGGCATTGTCCGTGGATTTGTCATCAACCTCATTTGCTATTTGGTGCACGCAGGGCACTTTGAGTTTTGGCAGCGTTTTTCTTGCAAGGTTTGTACGTCTAGTACGGCTAAATTCTATTTTTGTTGTTTTCTTGCTGAGCTCTGACCTTGAGGAAGGGGGCAGCATTCCAGCTGGACTTGAGCAGGCTTACCGTGAGTTCCGTAACTTTTGCCGGAGGATCAGGGAGACACCAATGGTAAAACATTTCACCCGTGAAAACTTGAGTTGGACATCGCAGCACAAATACCCGGAGTGCAGCTTTAAGGGTTCTGACACCCGTTTGCTGTTGCTTTTCTTGATTAATTTTCTGGAGGGCCCTGACATTGCCTTGGATGATGTCATGGCTGATGCCTTTTTGTGCGCAAAGTCCATCCAAGACTTTTTGAGTCTTGTCTTCAGTGTGAGGAACCCATTTCTCGATCGCGCAGATGCACTGGAATCATTGGCTTTGCTGAATTTGTGGTCAGAAAAATACTACCACTGTGCCCGAAAATGCTACGACCGTGGACTGTGTTTTTTTAGCCTCACACCCAAATACCACTATTTGATGCATGTGGCCTTTGATGTCCAGAAACAGTTGGGAGTCTTTGATAGTTCAGGCTTGAACAGAATTCTCAACCCTGCGCTTTTCTCGACTCAGATGGCAGAAGATCATGTGGGCCGGTCAAGCCGTTGCGCGATCTGTGCACCCTGCAACTACCTCTAAGAGGTCAGCGCAGAAGTGGTTGATCCAAACCAAACTCTTGTGGGAAAAACAACGGAGAAACAAGAGCGGAATTGTAAACGATGTTTGCGTTCAGCTGGTGTGTGTGTGTGTGTTAACTGATCAGTTTGTTTTGCTGCTGCTTGTACACAAGTTTTCGTTCTTTGCACGTGTGTGTGACAAGTGTACCTGCCAGTTAAAACCAGTCATGCAGTTGGCAATGTTGCCAAATACATGAATGGTTTTAATCTCGAACCCCCAGGGGGAAAACCGTTTCTTCGCGATTAGTATATATATATATACACATGTATGTGTGGCGTGACAAACTCCCAAAACAAGTGGCTACGCTGCCACACACAAAGGAAAAAAAGGTATTGGTGCAGCTTTTCTGGCTCAAGCAAGTTCCACTGTGTGTGTTTTTTGTGCACACAATGTTGGAAAAACCAATTCTTGGAATAGCGGACAATGAAAGCCTTTCTTCATCCAAAGGCAGATCTTGGAAAACCAGTTCTTGAGCCCACCTGGTGCGCAAACATGTTTTGTTCTGCGCACACTTTGGAAAGAATTGGTTTTACCAATTTTTTTTTGGTTTTTGACTAAAAACCGAAAAAAGGTACTACGAAGCCATGTCCAGGAAGTATCAGGCCTCAGCCAGAACTTTGCGATGATCAAGAATTTCAGCTACCTGCTCACATCGCGAACAATCCGATCTTTTGTTGGCAACTCATTTCACCCAAAACTTATCAGCCTTGCCATTGGCACATCCGAAGTTTTAAAAGACTGGGCTCGAGGTCGGCAGCCGTGTGCAGTCAACATCGCACACCCTGATGTGGTACGAAAATACTACCTCCAGTTTCGGCAAGGTATCATTGACACTTTGGAGCGGATCAAGTACTCTCCAAAATCCTTGCTTGAACCAGAGCCATACAGGCACATTGATTATCGTTCGCTTGTCATGTCGCCCCTTGAAAAACCTACTGTCTCACAACCTACTGTTGGCAACATGCCACCGCCTTACCTGACGAAAGAGGCAATTCAGAAGGACCAGCAGTGTCATGCTACTGCAAGACTGCGTGCTATTGGTACGCCACAATTCTTAGATTTCCTTGAGCAAGCCGAGTTAAGTAAGTATCTTGACCACATAGCAGTCCCGCAGTGGCTTCCTGTTACAAGAGATATTGCTGACCTACTCGCGAAGAAGTGCTCTGCACCTCTCTTAGCAGCGTATCAACATGGGTTACTTATTCAGATGCTCTTCGCTAGAGTCCTCCTCTTCTTACGAAGTGCGGTTGGAAGCTGTCCTGAAGGACAAACGGGCTTCTTCGTTGTCAATTATAAACACAACCCTATCCATATCCAGTATGTTGGCCCACCTGAAGCAGCTCATGTTTATTTGATCCGACTCAAAGAAACACTTGATATCATGATCTTCAAATATAGTGGACAACTGCTGCCGATTCGAACTGAAGTTGTTTCATGTCAAAGTTACACTGTCCAATACAGTGTTTGCCATCCCTTTTTTTCACAGGTTGTTGACAGTGTACTTGGGCTTGCCCTCCAGCAAACCGCTCATACGTGGTTTGCTGAAGCGCCCTTCCTACGCGCTTTTCGTGAACCTGGATGTGCTCTATGGAGGTTAGCACAAAGTGCACTCGCCCATACGCAGAGTTTCGATCGTCACCCTTTTGTTAATTCTTGTCATACTGTTCTCTCTCAATTGCCCTTGATTCTTGTTGAAGGCAAAGTTGAAGAACGGCGGCTTTATGGCCTAGCCTCCACAGCACAGGCCCTATGCCCGAGTGAGCAATCTTCCATTTGGTCTGCAGACGTTCCTTACACGTATTGTATCCTCATCTTTTGTCAAACCACGCTTGCCCGTGTAAGCAGTGAGTTTGACTATATCGCTGTGCTAGGCGAGGCCGATCACCAACCTGAAATAGCCCTGCCCGATGAGCGAGCTGCTCAAGCACTTGGAACAATAATCTTCCAAGATACAGCAATTGATGAATGCCCTAGCCTATCAGTCGAGAATGGTGTATACGCCTGTATTTACGGAGAGCCTGCAAGCATCGTCTTTCGGAGGGCGCAGGCCCAACTATCTCACATATGACATCTCTGGCCCTTTTGCCAATTGGCACTCTCCGTTTAATACAGCGTACCTTCTCGACTGGGCTACGGGCAGCATACTGGCTATCTCATGGTGAAAATTGTGGAAGATCAATCACTCATGTCTCCTCATTGCACTTTCTAATTCACTTTCTGACACCAAAGACCGCCTACAGACGTATCAAAGTGCGAGATCTCCTTACAGCCTGTGGCTTTCATTGGCAGTTCAATCTTGAAGATGCAATGCGGGCACTACTGGGTCTCTATCGGAATCACAGATCATGGAACTTAGCTGATGCTATCAGTCCTCCCTCAGCTCCTCCTGTCCTACCCAATGATAGCATTCACCTGCAGCTTGTCCCATGGAAGTTTTGGGAACTCTGTCGCCAAATCCTGGATTTTCGACTCCAACGTCCCACTAATCTCCCGGTTTCGATTCGCTGCCTCTACAGCTGGAACCTCAATAGTTGGTATCCAGAGAGCAACAGCAATGCACACAAAACATGGATAGTGCGCTCTTTATTGAGGTCAGCACCTGTCCTGCTGCAGGAAACAAAATGGACACAAGCTCAACTCATCCACCTTACACACACATGGCCGGATATTCGTATTGCGGCTGCCACAGCCAAATTAGATCCAAACCCGCAGGCTGGAGTAGCAATCCTATTGCCCCCCTGGTTGGAATATATGCAGTCAAAGAATACTGGTTGATCACTATGCGGTTGCTGCCTGTGTCTCCTTCCAGGCCTGTCAAGTATGGTTTGTTTCAGTCTATATTCCTCCCAACTGCCAACAAGCTCTGATGAGTCGAATCTACCAAGCCATTCTTACGTTAGAGGAGCACCCTGTCTTTGTTGGCGGAGATTTCAATCGCTGCGATCAGCATCACCCGCGAATCTGGGATGACTTCCTCAGCCAGGCAGGTCTAATGGACATAGACCCTTCTCTCCCAACCTACTGGTACACGAACCAGCAGGGTCACGTGGTTGAGTCACCCCTTGATCGAATTCTTGTGCCTAGTATCTTTTTGGACACGGCGCAGCTACATGTCCAGATCAAAAGCAGGTATAGAATACAAACCTGTCATCACAAACTGCTCCGTGTTTTCCTTAAGATGAAACCAAGGCTGACACCTCACCCACAATCTGTGCAACACCAAACCATTCCGACCAAGGTGTTTCTAGACCCTACTGCGGCTGCCAGTGAAATGACGGAAGAACAGAGGCAACGTTCCCTGCAGCAACTGCGTCGGAAAATCCTGCTGGCTTCAGAAAGTTGCCCCCACTCTACACCAATTTCAATCCATACTCGGGCCATTGTCTGGAGCTGGTGGAGAACCTCCTCGCAACTCTTCAAGCGACTGACACCACTTAAGAAACTATATAAACTGCTCGGCAAAAATCAGGCTGTTATCCATGTTGGAAAGGAGGACCTCTGTCATTTGTACGAACAAAGTGGCCTGGCTGCACTATTACATGCCTGGCCCCAGCAGCATCAAAAGTCCCTAATACCAACAACGTTAATTGCTTCAGCACTGCAAGCTGCCGAAGTTGCCACCGTTGCTTTTTTTCCAACATCCCCTTCGGACAAGACAGTACTGACCCGGCCAGACGAGCTAGACGGCAGCGTCTATTCTGGGACCGCCTCAAAACCGTCTGCCCAAGAGGTACCTTCTACCATGGTCCTCTCTTGCAGAGTAACGGACAAGAGTGTCGGACTGCGCGAGAATATGATGAAGCCATGCTTGCTACGAGATCTTTTTGGTTTCGGCCGCCCGTGCGGTACGATCCATCCTGGTCCCACACACTTGCAACTTACCGACAACACACAGAACCATGGCCCACTATTCCAGAGCCTTCCACTGAGGACTACATCGAACATCTTTTGCTTACAAAGGACTCTGCCCCGGGCCCTGATGGCCTCCCATATGCATTATGGCGAATGATTCCTCATCACACTGCCGCTATCTTAAAAGATGATTTCGAGCGAATGCTTACGTGTACTCTTCCTGCCCCTACACAAGTAGGTGTCTGGATCCCAAAGGCAAAACAAGGGCCTACTGCTGACTTCTTCCGCCCTCTCGGCATGCCAGACACACTCGATCGGCTTCAAGATGGCACTGCGGCTGCCATCCTTTTTCGAGCCACCCGGCACTGTTTTCATACAGCGCAAACCATGCTAAACGTATTTCGGGAACCTCAACGGGCAGTTCTTGAAGTACAACAAGCTTTAGAAGGGACCACCCCGGCCTCTGCACTATTTGCAGACTTATCCAAAGCCTTTGAACGTGTCAATGCCTATTGGATACTCCATATACTTCACATACGGCAGTGCGTTCCGTGGGTCCTTCAGCTCGCCAAATACTTACTCTTTGGGAGGCGCATCCGACACAAAGTCCACGGGCGACTCCTGCCGCCGCGTGCGGTTCATTCAGGGGTTGATTTGGGTAGATCTACCTCTGTCTACTTCTTCTGTTTAGCTATGGATCCAATTTTCGTTGCCCTTCATCAGGTACCACGCGTTCTGCTCGTGGCAGGTTATGTTGACGATACTACCATTGTTGGTCATCAAAGTGACCCTCAATGGATCAAAGAGGTCTTCTCGCTCATTGACTCCTGGTCCACTGCCGGTGTCGTTATGGATGCACACACGTGTTGGCAGGTGGGTTTCTCTACGGAGCCCCTTACTGAACAGCAACTGCTACGATATGAAGACGTAGCGAAGGTGTTTCGCCCCTGGCATGAGCAAGGAGAGGCCACGGTTTCGCGAGCGATCCAACACATCCCTTCCTATGCACAGTACTTTGTCCTCCGTCATGGAGAGCATTGTGCGCTCTTTCGTGCGTGTCAAATTCATGACTGGCTTGAACACGGGCACCCTCTGCTCCTTCAACTTGC